AGATAGCCTTACATTAAGGAAATGCCCATCCTACAATCAGAGGTTGTGACAGACCATTAGGTTTGGGAGTGCTTAAGTCACCACATCTCAAAAAATCCACTTCATTGACTGGATACTGTGAAAATCTGCATTAATCAAAGCTCTTTCTTGTAAAACACTTCAGAGTCCCTTATGCAGGATGATCTACATTAGCAGAAACTGACATCACTCTTAAAAAAGCAAACAGTATTAAATCCAAATATTCACCACGGATCCACTCCTTGCAGGCGGAGGTCCCTTTAATTATGTCTGGAACTATGCCTGCCTAAAATTGTTGTAAATTTGCTTGTCATTTTTTTTACTCCTTTGCCTCATGCTTTGTAACATAAACCTCCATTCTGAATATGATTTTGCAGCAATATTTTTCTCAGTGTTTGTGTAATCTAACTCACAAAGCATCTGAATGCCATCCAAGTCTGGGACTGGGTAAGATCCGGTTTCTGACAGCACACACCCTGCAGTTTGAAGCCAGAGCTTCTGGCAGAGCGACACCTCATTCCAGTCTACAAAAGTGCTGTTGCCAAGGGAGCCATCAGAACTACAGATCAAGGCTAAGGCCTAGCTAGCAACTATTTTGCCTACATCAAGTGTGTCCTTAGATGTGACTGCTTTTCTGATACGTGCCTCTCCTTCTGTTATTGTAAAATTCACTTGTCACACATGGAAAGGCCATAGCCTGATTTAAATTTTAAAGGCTCATGTAGAAAAACAAAAAACATAAACTTAACAATTTCATTTTAAAGCAACATTGTAGAAAATGGAAAATTTCAACTTGGCATTATTGGTTCCAGGATTTTCATTTTTCTAATGGAAGGTTCATAAATCTGCTTTGAAATTATAGCCTTGGTATGAGAGCTGTCAGCTTTCTGGTGATTTTTTAGCCAAAAGATTCACCTCGTGAATTTTTACACAACTGGCAGGCACTTCTAGGAAATCAGTTTGAGGAATGTTTAAAACATAACTACATCATATATATTTTAAAGAAGTCCCCAAATCCACAGTGCCCTTCCTTATTTTATCACCATGTTTATCAAGACAGTTCTACTTTGACAAATGTTGTCTTCAACCAACCATTTATAAATGTACCATTAAGCATGGCATGAACTCAATTTTGATTAATTCTCAGCAGCTGCAACACACCTACAAAATGAAAGCCAAATTCCTTTTAAGGTAAAAATTCTGATGTAAGTCCTAAGTGGAACCAGAACAACCAAGAGAGGCTGGTTTCTTTGAATATTTTTTCCACCCCCCCCCCCCCCAAAAAAAAAAAAAAAGCTATAAAGCTTGTACATTTTTTCACAGCCTGCAAGATTGTTTATTGAATTTTGTGTCCTTCCATATACAGGGTATAATTTTCAGTAGTTTGGTCTGGTCAAAACCTAATTAAAGCAGCTGAAAAGCATGAATGGAATGGTGAAAAATGGCCAAATTTACTGGAAAACTCACCTGGACACAGAGAATGACAACCCACCCATAAGGTGAAGCCTTTTGGTAACTCCCCACACAGACGTGCATCCTTCCTTACAGGAGGATGTACCAGGGAGATGAGGTGAGGGAGAAATTTTTGTCATGTACTGCTGGTTTAGGTAAATTGCATACAGGGCATGTACATTGTATGTATTTGCTGCTTCATGTGTGATAGCACTTAACTGAGGTACTTTTGGCTGCAGCAGGAAATTCAGTCTAAACTGCAGGCTAGGCTGTCCATACTGCAGGCTTGTGTGCTGCCTGGTGCACAATCTTGTGTACAGGGCTTTTATTCTACTTCTTGCTCTTCTACTATGTGGATCTTTGAAGTGATAGCTCTCCTTTAATTATCACATTTTGAAAATGAGCTACTGTATATATTTTAATTATCACATTTTCAATTATTTTAAAATAAAGAGTATTTTATTCCTCATGTCCCAAAATGATTTCCATATGATCAAGATAGGCATACATGACCTCTTGTTTGTAACTCTCCTTTGCTATTAAGGCCCTTTTTATGAAAGCCACACCCAACATCTACCACTCACATCTGAAATAGTGCCTTCACACGCACACAGTTTCACCTTAAGGTTTAATGTTGCTTCACATTCAAGATGGTTTTCTATGTTGGTTTGTCATTCTAAATTTGGGTTCAAAAGAAATTTACAGTGTTCAGTTGCTGGAAATGAAATTCTTGGTTTATTTACTTCATGGTGATAAATACTTAATTACTTCTGTGTCTGAAGAAACTGCTTGTATATATTCCTGTCAGAAAAGAACTGAAACTCTTTCTAGCATGCACTTTATGAACCCTTTGTCCCTTAAATAAACAGTGAGCAGCAACGTCTGTCTTGCAAACCAGCAAAAATAAAATGTACCATACCAAAACGGTACAGTAGGTTTTCTGCAAATAAAGTGGTTTCTACACAATAGCTAAATAGGAAAACATAAGGTTGATGCCTTGCAGAGTTTGTTTCACCATAAAATACTGAATCCTGTTAGCTATTTGAAGTTAATGAAAAAAGAGAGGCTACCCTGTGGGCCCAAACCTGTTTTTTAAGGGCTGTTAAAATAACCTTCCTAATTAGATATGCAAACATTCATTTCTTTAAAAAAAACCTCAAACGTGAACTCCTGATCCACAACTCCACCCTCTGCTGCAGTGGCACTTCACGGAATGCATAAAAGAACCAGTTGTGTTGCATTCAAGATTAATGACAACAAGACCACTGAAACATGACTAGTATTCCTCCTAATGTATAACATTCTTTAATTGACCTTTTCCATAAAGCCTGTGACAACGCAGAAGATAAAAGACTGATGAACACACTTTTCATTTAGCAGAAAATGATCTGTATGACAATCATACTATTGTACAAAACAAACTAGCTGCAGCATGTTCTGAAGAATAGGGGTCAGGCATCCTAGCAAAACTGTATTTCACTGCTGAAGTAGAACACAGGTCGTTTAATTTGTATAGTCAAAACCTAGTTAAGGCAGAGGAGAGGCGTGGTTTGAACAGTGAGATTTTTTTTATTTATCTCACCTGGTTGAGGAGAACAAAAACAGGCTTTCAGGAACCCCTGAATATACAGAAAAGAAGGAGGTGACAGGGGAGAAGACTGGTTAGAGGGAGGGACTTGGAAGTGAAACACACAAACAAATATCATGATACAGTAGTTCCGCAAAGATAGGTGGAAGTGAGCGAGATTGTTTTAACTTCCTCCTAAAATTGTTTAAAACTTTGTTTCTTTAGTTGTTGTCTGAATAGTTAACTCTTACCCTTTCAGAAAGTGCCATAAACTAAGCTACAGAATTATAACAAATAACAAATTGCAGACATAAATAATCTCATGATGTCAGTATTTAATAAATACTCAACTTGTTAAGGTGGCGATAAGAATCCTGAAAGGATTCAAGGAAGCAAGAAGGGTTCAAATACTCAAACCCAGTTTGTTGTTGGAACACAGTCTAACAGCCTTATTAATGTCAGAATCTACTTCAAGAAAAACATTGGAGAAGTTGCTCCTCCTCATGCCTACACTATTGTTATTTCATGCTAGCTGGGAAACTTTAACATACGAATTGTACATTAGTATAGAATCTGGTTTTGCAGCAGAATGCATCCAAATGCTTCAGAAAGCTTCAAAAATGAAATTAAATACTGAAAACAGAAAACTATTTTTCAGTCAGTCAAAGTAGATATTTTGCTGTTAGAAATATCTGATGATATGGAGACAGGCGTATTATACAGGAAAGATTAAGTGTTAGCATGAAAAAGGCGTTTCTAATAATGCTGAGGGTTTCTCTGATCTATTTCCTGTCTATTATTCTGTCCTGCAAATTTGCGCCATCTTCTGTTGAAATAAAAGCTATTTCTCTGGTGTCAGATACACAAGCTGATCTTGATGGAAATTACCTCTTTTTAAAGTTACAACTAGATAAAGCAATAATTGTAGAGAAAAATCTGTTCTAAAAGTTAAAGACAACATTTCCTATTATTTTTACTTGCTTAATTTAACAGAACATGAGAAATTTTGGAAAACTCAAATAATCATTTTATGTTCATTTAATATTACTGTTTGTTTCATCTACAATAAATTAAACAACCTAATTACACAGATACACTATCAAAGTCTAATTTTACAATTGTTTCCATTAAAAAAATGCATTAGATTTATACCTTATACAAAATTTCTAGAGTTTAAATTTCCAAAAATAAATCTGTACATTTATCCCATATTCCCATATGTTAATTATAGGAATATTTATTCAGTAATATAATTTTGACAAATAGAGTAAAATAACTAATTTTGATACAAAATATAATTTATTCTTTCCACATGTAGACACCTACAAAAGATGCATTATTGTATATACAGTATCTGAGTGATTCTTTAGCTGTTTGCCTCAGATTAGATTATATAATTGCTGAGGATGATTAAATGTCAATTTGTAGATTAAAAAAGAAAGATAAATATTTCTGAGAAAGATTAAATAAAATTAAATTCAACTTTGTAATTATTATTTAATTAGTAAAATCTAAGAATCCAAAGCATAGATCGCCATATTGAGGTATACATGTCAAATAAAAATAAATATTGTGGTATTAGCATAATCCCAAAAGATATATGATAGCATGAATTTACTTTACTTTAAATTTAATTCCTTTTGAAGATAATTATAATAAATTGTCAACTGTTGATAATCCGAGTCAGCTGTCCTGAATACCACACCAAATTTGAAACTCATTTCCAGTCACATTTGTAAGCATTCAGACAGAAGTTACATGTATTATCTAGCCTCACCTGCTGGTTATTCCTGTTGTTTTTCTAATATTGAGAAGGTGAATGTTTCTTTAAATGGATAATTATTTTTCTGTAAATAAATACACACAGGAAATCTGTGAATTGGTTCTTTATTTTTTGCATTTGTCTTTTACAAAAAACTTTTTTATATCCCAGCATTGTAGTAAAACATTTTGAGTTGTAATATTTATTTAGCTTTTTAACAAAAACAAAAGCAATGTTTCTGATGTAAAGATGTATTTTGAAAATGATCAATTACTTCTATCCAAAATATGTAGAATACATTGTGGTGTATCCTTTAAATCATTTAATAATTTAATGATGCAAAGGTGTGACCCATTAAATATTCAGCTTCAAAGCTTGTGTGTATTAAACTGTTCAAGAGCATATTTTCTTATTGGAGTTTGTTTTAGTCCTCCTCATAAAAAGGATCAATCATAAGAGACTGTAACCCCCAACTAAAAACAGCAATTCTAGAACAAGAGACAATATTAAAAATACTTAGACATCTCTTGAACTCCTGCTATTGTAATTTAAGTTTGTTTGGAAAACTGTAATTTGTTTAAAACTGAAAAGCAATGGCATTATTTAAGTTGGGGTTTATATAGTATAACCAAGCATTGACACTGTCAATAGATATAAATATATATTTACATGACCAGAAATTTACAACTGCCAATCAAATATCTCAATTGAAACTTCTATTTTCTCTAAGGGTTATTTAGAATAAAAATATAACACAATATTTAAGATATGCCAGCTACCCCAAGAGCCAGATCCCCTTTACAAAACATATAAAACAATTCAGAGTACAGTATAAATGCACCCAAGTGGACCAATGCCAAGCATCAGACAAAAGGGCTTGTATCATCAAAGTTGTTTATAGGAGTACAAAACAAGTACATTTTTATATTTTTAGACACAATAGTTACTGTACTCTATATAGAAAGTACCATTAAAGGTCTTGATCTAAATATACAAATTATATACTGTATAGCAACTGATACATTTACTCATCATTCCCATGAGACAGAGCAGATGAAGTAGAGTTGAACAGGGGTTTATGCTCCTCTCTTTGAAGGAAAAAATTCACCAAAGTCTCCATTCTGTTCATTACATAGTTAATTAGTACATTACTCAATGGCTTTAAGATCATCTTCCCCAAAACTTCAACCAAGTCCTGTTTTTGTTAGGACTTACTAAAGAGCACTTTACTATTGTGACATAGGATAGGGCCCACGTACTTAAATGATACTGCTGTTTATGAAGATGTATGTTAAACCAAAAAAGCCTGCAGAGCAGCACAATCATTGACAATTGTTGCTTATCATTTAACATTTGCATGCTTAATTAATGCTGGTAACTGTTTTCCAACTTATTATATTATTATACATAAATTATGATGCATTCCTAAAATTTGAATACATGTCAAGTTAAACTTGTGAGCTAGAGTTTGCCTAATTTGAATTAAAAACTTAAACATCTCCTTAACTTAAAAACATAGATTTCCAAATGACCTAAAATACAAATATATTCTTCAATTGTAAAGCAATTGTAAGTAAGATTCCATATGTATTGGAGCTATACTATACATCTTAGGGCTTAGATCCTTCAAAGCACAGCAAAACAGAAGAAAAAAAATCAACCCCCCTTACCCAAAAGCCATAACTTGTGGACTTTGCATCTCCATGTAGAGCAATGTAAACTGTTTAACTTCATATTTATTTTTGGATTGAATGTATTTATGATATTGCATAAAACATGGAATGCAAATTCCACACCAGGAGTAAGGATTCGGGATAAAGACAGCTGTTCTTTAGAAGAAGGAATAGAAATATTAGCAATTTTAATGTAAACTGCTTAATGCATACAATGGTATGAAGAATAAAATACAGTAAAAATTTAACCAGCCAGATTAAAAGACAGTCAGAATAGTACCTTAATTCAATTGTCCAGACAAGCATAATTTTGCATGTCTAGCTGATGTGACCACATAGGACAAGTGGAAATGTGGATCCTTCAGCATTCACCATTCAGCAAAACCATCAAAAACAAGGACAGACGTCAACAGGTCAAGGTTAATTTCACGATTCTCTGATGTTTTGAAGCATTTCAGAATTCCACAATTTAAAAACATTAATCTTAACTGAATTCCTCAAAACAAAGTGGAAACATGCTTTAAAAGAGATTTTATTTATGCCTATTCCAATATTTGTTGCTTGTATTGATATATTTTTTTTAAACTTAAATAGTGTACATTTAACCTGATATAAAAACAAACAAAAATGTGATCATACACTTTCCTTTTCAAAGTCTGGAGATGTAACACTTGAAACGTGGCTGTTTTAAAACACAAAGAGATTAAACTGACCACCTAGCACATAAAACACAATATCCTGATAAATGTATTGTGAGTGTAAGAAAAAAACTGGAGATGTTCAATAGAACATAGTAATTGAACAGTATTCTAGAAAAGCCTTGTAATGGCATTAAATTACATTACTTAGTTTGCATCAACAAGGGGAATGTATTTAATTTAGATTCCAGTGAGTAACCTTTTATTAGTATTTACAAATGTTGAGCTTTTCAGTGCAGTCAGTCCAGTGGGTTTCAGAAAGACTTCAGGGGAAAAAGATCGACTGAAGTACAGGACTGAGTTCTCTGAGTTAAATATAAGTTATAAATTAAAGATTTGCGTCTTGTGTCTTATGAAACAAGCGATGAAACTGAAAGCATGAACCACAGCGTTAGTGAACAGGTTAACAAATAAAAGCAAAATGTCTGAGTGAGATAAATGCATATAGACTGAGAACTAAAGCAACTTTTAGTAGCTTTTCAAAATAACATTTATAGTTGTCCCATACAGTGATATGAATGATTTACTATGTGCGCATTTGCCCTTTTAAAGTTTTTCTAGTCAAAGCAGATCAGTATCTGAAATGCAATAGTGCCTTGTAAGCATTCTAGAAATAATATTTTCAAAAAATGCATTTACAAACTGAATAGATTCCTTCAAAAGATGTTTTCTGTTTGCAAATGAAGGGATTTATACTCATGCATAATGAACATTTGTCTAAAATAAGTTTATTTTAAAAAAAATTCTATTGGAGTCTTTCATTCACAAAAGAAAAAATAATTTCATAAAGTATCTAAGTCACTAAATGCATTAGTCAATTCAGTTGCGTACTCATTGAAACCTATAGAATTTGATAACCTGAGTAAGGGTACTGAAATTGTTCAAAACAGCACCAAATGCTAATATATAAATAGATTGCTCCAACTGTAAAGACTGATAAAGATCTGTAACACTGTTAGGAATGACACAGAGAAGGTCAAATTTTTACATCCTTCATTTTGGCCAGGAATGACTTTAAACCCAGTACTGATTCTTTTTTAAAGCAGGGTTAGTTGTCCTACAGTACTGCAATAACTCTGGGTCGGGGTCTGACCCTTTTGTGCTCTGAAGCCCGTCTTTCGAGTCTGTTGGACCCATATTTGACATTGGTATACTATGGGCAGGATCAGTTTGACGAAATGTCTCTTGGTTGAGCTCCCCATTTTTTGGTTTGGATGAGAGCACCTGGACCTCATGTTTTCCTGTTTTGTTACGCCGAACAAGGTAGTATGCTAACACAGCTGCCATAATAAGGAGCAAGATGATAATGCAGATAGGAATGATGATGGCCCAGATGTTGTTCTCTGTGGAGACCAGAGGCCTCTTTCGTGAATTTGTTAGGTCCCCTTCTTTCCATTCTGGTGTCGTAAGAGGGTCCATGAGACTTGGGGGAATCTTGAGTAAATTTGCATCATAAGTAACAGAGGAATTGTAAGGGCCAGTTCTGAAGGACAGGGAACCAAGTGCAGGAGGGACACCATTGGCTTTCAGAAGGAAATTGAATCTATCAGTGTGAGGTTGATCCCCTGCTTCTGTTTGGTTGAATAGCTCCAGTGCTACTCTTCCATCCTCCACATCCTTGTGAGTAAATGCCTGTAATGGATGATTCTCCCCTCTTCCATCCAGTTTCATGAACCTAGCTGTTTGTGGTTGCTGGGTTATACTGAAAAATGGAACACTCTTGGTTTTGTTGGCTAATTCTGATGCATCAAGTATTTTTTTGTCTACAAGAACAGTTGATGCTCTAGGCAGAAAAGGACCTTCTGGTAGGGTTATTAAAGGTTTTACAGTCACATTCAGTATTCCTGAGACATTGGCTGCTTTAGTTTTTGCCACAAATGCAAAACTATCCTTTGGGGAAGTGAACTGCACAAAGCGGAACCTGACCCTTCCCTCCTCAACCTGTTGTTGAGTGAATCGAGATGAAGACTGGTGATCAACTGTTACAGTTGCAAATTTTGGACCATCAGTTATAGCATAGATTACCTCCTCTTCCCTTGGCCCTCCAGTTGTTGTTTTGAGAACACGACTTGTAATTAATGTTTCATCATCCCCTTGCTTAACCTGCATCTCTTCCGCTTGGGTGAGAGTTAGGCTCCTGGCCAACACATCAATGTTTAGTCTGTAGGAAGACGTAATGTGCTTGCCATCAGATATAGTAAATTCCAGGAATCCACCAGACAGGCTCCCATCACTGACAAATGCCACCTGGCCTGTGTTGATATCTGCTTGAGTGAACCTGGTGATTTGGCTTTTAGTGTGTGTGCCAGCAATCAGTCCATTGGAAGGGTGTTTGGTAACAGTAAAGATGATCTCCTCAGGCTTATTGTCTTCATCGATGGTGTTAAGGTGTTCCCCTGTAAGAACTAGAGTAGAACCTTGTACTACCTCTAAAAAAGTATTTGAGATCACCAGCTGTGGTGGTTTATAATCTTTGGGCTTGATTGAGAAGTTGAAGGACTCCTCGATGATAATGCTACCACTTGTTTGCGACATCCCCACTAGCCCTTTCTCTCGAGGCTTTAGCCATACTCGGAAGGAGAAGCCATCGTCCCAAAATTCTGATCCATCATGGGTATATTTAAGCTCTTTTTTATCCACATCTTCCTGTAGGAAATATGGTGATTCCGATGGCAAAGCTAGGTCATCAAGAAAAAGGATCCCATGCTCCGGGAATTTCCTCACCTCAAACACAACATCATTAGAATCTCTCTGGGATACCGGAAGACTGGCTAAGAGATTAGAAGCATCTAGTCTGGAACTTTCAATAGTTGTAGCTGCACCTTGCAGGACATCTAGACCTAGAAAAGAAACAAAACAATCTTTAAATTATTATCTTACATGACATCAGGATAAAAGCAACTATCAGTGAATGTGTAACTACTGTATACAATCTATTTAATGACAAATTTAAGGTTGTAACATGTATGCATAGCATGTTTTACCGCTATCCCTGTGTGTGAACTGATGAATTACTAAAAAGTCGTACCCGCATTCTTCCAAAGCTGTGATGCCTGGGAGAGGTTTGGTGCCTGGAAGGTGATTGTAATATGGAGGATGTGCTCTAATTCTTCTGCAGTATGTGAGGATAGAAGGAATTCAACTGAATCCTGCATGACCCAAAATGGCTCACTGGGCATCTCATGCTGGTAGAGGATAGATCCATTCTGCAACTGTAATAGAGACAGAAAGTGTTAACTTTGGCTATTTCCAGTATCATGATTAGGCTTATATTCAAGATAAACATGCTGCCATTAATGTAAAATTATTTTTAGACATACTGTAGGCATCTGATGGAGTTGGTGCCTAAGGGAACAAGTCCCTTAGTCTCATCTGCCTTCACTGTTATTTTCATTCCACCTAGATACTGATCAGTTGCATCTCTGGAAGGGATTTTGCAGAGCGATCAAATCTGACAATGAGGTGATACCTTACACACTTGCACCCAATGCAGGAATCACATTTCTTCAGTATACCCTTCTACAGCACCATGACAAGGTTGCAGAGCATTAAATGTTAAACAAGGTCCCCACTGTGATAGGAGTCAGTGTAACATTACACTGCTTACTATGTTTATGCAGGTGAATGTGGGGGGTGTACTGTATAACTGCAGGGTTCAAACCAAAATGCAGCAGCTCTGTGGTTTGCAAGACCACACGAGACTCACAACTGAGTTAAATAAATTAGAGCAAGAGGAGATGCTGAAGGGTGTGTGATAATTTTCTCTGCACGAAAAACAGCATTTAGAAGTCTAAATGGTACAAAACATGGTTCATGCATTATTTCACAGATGGCTTGTCTGGCTCTGCAGCTGGTTATGTTTAACACTTATGATGTTTCTCCAAACTGGCAGAAAATTCATCCTCACCTCTGCTTGGGTGAAACTGGAGACTTCCTTGAATTCGTTGCTTTGAGTGGTTGTGATAAGCGTGCCCAGCCTTGGTGCTCTTGTTACATTATAAGTTATCACCTCTGCTTCATCAGTTGTCACTGCTTTCAGTATCTGGCTTGTGATTGGTTGCCTCATTCCTTGTAAAATGAAAAATAATTTTGAGTACCTGCACATCTTTCTTAATAGGATAACCTACATTTAAATTATCCATTTTAAAATTCCTGAAATAAGCCACATGTTTTAAAATTAAAAACGGCACTCTTTTATTTATGAGACAAAGGAAGGTGGCTTTTTATTACATCGATGCAAATGTTCAGGGACATCACGTTAGAAGCACTCACCTGGATACACAATGAGCTCGTTGTTTGCTTCCATAGTGATGGTGATCTGCCTTACAGTAATGGAGAAGAGATGCTTAGGAGAGGTGTGCTCTGTGTCGGTCACTATGAAACTGAAACTCCCAGAGAGAGCACCTGAGGGAAACAGACCATCATTTCAGTCAAGTGATCTATCAGTTTTAACAAAAAACAATGCTTAATTAAAAAATACCTTTTACTTAGAAATAAAAAATAAATATATGAGTTTTAGTAAGTGGTATAGTGAGGTAAATTGTTGGGAAAAAATATGATGTCAGATGATATGTGGAACTGGAAAGCAAAGGGTGGATTACACTGGGTACTGTTCCTATAGAAAGGATAATGTGATAAAACAGTTATTCATGCAAGCCCAAGTAATACCTTACTTAAAGTGAAAGACTTTAGACCAGAAATCTTGTAAATAGGTTGGCTCATACAACTCCACCCATCCTCAGAATTAGCCTGGAAAAAGGGGCTGTGTAGCTCAGTGGATATAATTGCATAAAAACTATGTTTCCAATAAGAAGGTATAAAGCAGTAAATTACTCCTTTTAGTAAACTATAATAAGTACACTAAGACTGGTGACAGTCTAACACATGTATTTTTAAAATCTAAATTTAAATGAATTAACTAATAAAGTGGCTTGGAACCTAATGCAAGGGAAATGTCTGAAATAAGCACATCCAGCGAAATTGCCGATTCTAGACAACATTCTGAAATATATAAAAGAGATTTTGGGCATGAAGATCAGCCTTCGGAAATAAGACATTCAGTTAAGCCTTATGTACAGAGTGTTAGACTTATATGCAGGATTCAGTGTGGCAAGAGCATAAAAGAGAGTACAAACAAGAAGAAGCTCTTCAGTCAATTTTACTCTTTCGGACTTTTAGTGGTTAATAATAATAATAATAATAATAATAATAATAATAATAATAATAGTAATAATAATAATTGCTTACACTTATATAGCGCTTTTCTGGACACTCCACTGAAAGCGCTTTTACAGGTGATGGGGACTCCCCTCCACCACCACCAATGTGTAGCCCCACCTGGATGATGCGACGGCAGCCGCTCATCACACATCAGCTAACAGTGGGGAGCAGAACAGAGCGATGAAGCCAATTCATAGATGGGGATTATTAGGAGGCCATGAATGGGAAAGGCCAATGGGAAATTTGGCCAGGATGCTGGGGTAACAGCCCTACTCTTTTCAAGAAATGCCCTGGGCACCCTTAATGCTTCAACAACCAAACTACAAACCAGACCAAGTGGAGAAGTGAGAAGTTGCTTCAATGATTGACATAGGGGAGAACTTTAGGTGGGATAGATTGTTTAAGCATCAGGTGGAATTTGGCTCAAACAACATCATGGGCTCTTTAATGACTATGTAGTCAGGACCTTGGTCACAGGGACAAATAAAGGGACAACTTATAACATAGCTGTTGTATACCTGTTCAGCAAACTGTGGCCTATTTAGAAATGTTTAGAAATGTAAGGAATTATTGCTTGGAAGAAATGTGGACGTGTATTGAATTTTTAACATGATCAACTTGGTTGAAGGTGGAAAAAGCCCAGAGGCAGGCCTCCAGGGTACAGTGTGAATGCTCCACTTGCGAACATTATCAACTGCAATTATCATTTGAAATTTGTGTACTTTGATAGACTCACCTTTGTGAACAAAAACGACTTGGCCGTTATTAATCTGTGCCTGTGTGAAGCCTCGGATGGTGTTGTTGAGTGATGATTCCAGTGCCACATACCCATTGGTAGGTGGTTCAATAGAATACACCAGATCCTCAGGAGGGGTATCCAGATCTTCTGTATTTAACTCACTGGCAGTAATTCTAGCTGATGTATGTGCTCGAAGCTGAAACAGAAAAAGCAGGAAACTCATAAAGCAGACAGACATTTATTTTTTATTGGGACTATATGCACATAACCTCCATCAGGGCAGTCTTAACAGAAAATAACTTGTTGGTTATTTTTGGTGTCAATGTCTGTTTTTAGAAAGTCTGTTTTGTTTCATGGTGTTTTAAGACAATGATAAATGCCCTGTTGTATTCAGAAAACCTGCAAAATGTGTCTGGCTCTAACTTTGCCTCAATGTGATGCATGGTTGGTCAGTTATCTTAAGGTAAGAGAACATTTTTTGGGGCTTTACTTGCAAGAACACTGGTTTAATGGATTCGAATGGCTTCTTTTGTTGATGCAATGAACATTTGTGGTATGAATGAGGCAGATGTAATGACAGAGCTTCTTATTTAGTCAGTAGCGGGAGGGAAAATGGAGGCCTTGTTGTGTGATTGGTATTAATTTGTTCTATTTCTATTTAAATATGCCTCACATTCCAAAGAAGCCCACAAAATATTACAATTCAGGGAGTAGCAAATTTAGTCCCACATCAGAAGTATCACTGCACAAGCCTAATTCATAAGAGCATTCATACATGGACCATTATAAAGACAAGCAATGAACTTAGTGGCTCTTCAGGCCAGATATTCTGCTGGTTTCCACAGTGTGAAGAATAAAGAGAGGGAACACCCGACCATTGCAGGGTTTTCCAACAATAGTAGTGGAACTCAGCCAGGCTGGTACCTATTAATACAGCTGGGTGGACTAGAAAGACCAGTTGCAACAATCCTTTAAACCAACAATCTTCTGATCAGGAGTATAAACTCTAATCACTTCTCTGTCCTACACCTTGATGAGTAAGCAAATTTTCTTCATTTGCTTCCAATGTTCTTTTAATGTAATCTTCATTCCCTGATATAAAGGACGTTTTTCAAATTCTAAGCATCATCTATTCCTAAGAACATTTATTTTGCACATCTCTCTTTTGTCCTAAATATAAAATAAGTTCTTAAAAGTGTGTTTTAATTGATTTATAGGAAGACTGACAATTTATTCAAAACGTTTTATCATCATAAAGATAAGTACACTGCACACTTGCATTTAGCCATCAGTATCTTGGAATATCTGTCGCAAGTATGTAATGCCCTCTAGTGGACACTGTTGGTATAGAACTCTGGTGCGTTGACATTCCACTAGATGGAGTAGTGGGCTTTTTCTAAAAATGTCATTAAGTCAGTTGAAGGTTTTGAAAAAGCCTTGAACTGCAAAGGGTGTGGCATTTAGAATATAATATTGAGATTAAAGCTACACTGAATAAACTACTACATTAAATTAAATCTACCTCACATGTCAAAATCAAAATTATAATCAAAATGATAGTCAACTCTTTCATAGAGATTTCTTGCTTTTGGTTAATGTTACAGCTTTTATGGGAGTAATCTTAGGGGAGCTCTATAGACTATTGGACTGACAAAACCCCTCAGGCGCTACACAGCATGTTGTGCAAGTCCAAACACATACTAGAGCTTGTGAGAACATTCCGCTGGGTTTCTAACTTACTGTACATAATGAAATACAGCTGCAGTGTATCCTGACAGGATCTGGGGCAATCCATGCACATTATTTAAGTCATGTAACTCATCAAGTGTGATCAGAGTCAAGTCTCATGCCTTAAATTAAGGTCAGGTTTAGGATCTCGGCCAGGTTTACTGATTGAAATGTAACCAAAATTTGACATAATACTGAAATATTCGGATGTCTTGCTTGCATTGGTTAAAAGAGTTAAGTGTCTTGAATAGTTTTATTTAATACAGGCTACAGCCATGCCAGGCTTGTTCACATTGTCCACAGGCTTCCAGTCCTTACTGTTTTCCTATTTCAGACTGTAACCTTGAAATGTATTGAAGCCACATGTACGAATGTACAATGCTCACTGGTGATAGATAAACAGGAAGGGATTAATTAATGTATTGATTCCTGCTTCCATGTGAATAAAAAGTGGTACTTAAAATTAATCTCTACAGCTCCTCAATCTGTTGCTATAAATAGGCAATTTTAATCCCATTCATCAATAGTTTCTCTTAATAAAGTGTGCTTTATTAAGTAATAAAGAACATTTAAAGTTTTGCCTTCCAGGCTGCCCATCACTGCATGAGAGATTTAGTTAATTATAAAACATAACGCAGAAAATGTAATTTGTCAAAGTACAGCAAATAAAAATAACGTCAAATTGTTCTCGTAGATCCAAGAGCAGTGTACAAATTACAACTCACATTTTGCAAAGTTACACTCAAGGAGTTGTTTATTAATGGGCACCTCCATTACCACCTCACCTTATCGACTGCATGTTAAAGTGTTTAACAATTCCAAGCAAACTCAAATGCCATCAGAAATAAAGTACTTCTTTGCATTCATATTTTTCTAACATTATTTATTGCAAGTTTATTATTGAAAGATTACACAGGATTTAATTTTTTTTGTGACTTCTGATCGGGTGCATTTAAAGTATTTGCAGAGCTGACTTCACCTAAGGAAATGAAAAAGTCTTCTTACCTCCAAACCACCATTGACTGTCACTACTGGGGGTTCATCATTGACTGGGAGCACAGTAATGGTGATGGTCACTGGTAGACTCTGCCTCTGAATTTCAAATGCTGTGGCAGTGAGATTGAAACTATCTGATGTAGTTTCAGTGCCATCATGCAGGTAGTAGATCTTTCCTTTTTTCACCTAGGACAAAAAACCACAGTGGGCGGTTAGCTACAATATTTATTTTGTCAGTGTTGATTTAGTGAAATATTTAAAATGAGCACAATAAATTAAGGCAACCAAACATGAGGCAATTTGTTAGATAGTGCTTTTAAAAAACACTTTATGCACCTAGAAGATGAAGAATGAACTACCTCATAACCTTTGTTTTCACAATGTTTTTTCTTTTCATAAAATCACTCTTATCCCTCATCCCTCATCCCTCATTTCTGAGACTTTTTGGAGAGTGTATTTACTGTACTGTCTGATTGCTGAAGAGGCTCATTTTCTTAGGCAATGATAATGCTTCACATATTTAGATTTGGCTGAATTAAAATCTGCACTTAGTAATTTGACAATCACAGAAAAATAATACTTTACTGTAGATCAGAATTCTAAGAGTTAGCCACTGCATTTGCTCAGCTACAAATATAAGTGATTTCTTAAGAACATGATTTCTGCTTATGATGTTATTGAGATTCACTCTGATTTTTACCTCATTCAACTATAATTGTCTGTAAATAGAAAAGCTTTACTGTTCAGTAACAGATAAGCACATTGTTTCAATTCAGGAAAAGATTCTTTTGTTCCATGTGTAATTCTTCTTGTGGAGTGGGAAAGAAATGTGTAGTCCTAGTTTCAAATAAGGTCCTCCACAACAATAAGGAAATGGTTCAGTTATTTTGAACATCTCACATAGTAGGTACTGTATATTGTGAGGCCAAGATAATGTAAAATAAGACTTACTGCATACTGAAGTCTAATGAGTAATTAGCATGCAACATGGTGCATGACGGGCAACTGAATACACAACAGGAACCACTTGTTCCATAATTATTGTAGACATAGATTTTATCTAAATACATTAAACTTTCATGCATGAAACACCAATTACCTTCTACTACTGTATATGGTATTTTTGTCACTGCGATACTAATTTAGAGAGCAGCACTGTACTTCTTTGCTCTAAAACATAAACTACAGTGAAGTATAAAGAATGGGTCAAGTCTTCATAAGATTAGTACAATTAAAATATGATAAGAAGTATTATATTTAAATTTTGGATGAAAGAAATAATATGCATTTCTATTAATAAAACCATATGCTGTAATCTCTGAGAACTGAGTTTGCCAAGAGGCTTGAAGGATGTTTGCACATACGATTCATTATTATAGGAATTGTAGGAAATGGGCCAGTTCAGTTTGGCTCCAGTGACTGTAGTGTTAGCATCAGTTTTTCCACAGCATTAGAAGAGCATAAAAAAGAATGGCACTTAGCAAACTACATATTAAAGTCTTTTGTGTTGTTTTGGTGGAGTGACTAAAAAACTCCACAAGGTTTTGTGATACATCCTAACAAAATGATGGGTTTCCGTGAATAACCACAAATTTGGAAGGTTATCCCATGAATAGACTGCGTTGTACCACAGTGAATAATTCTACACCAATTGAAAAAGATCTTCATTATATTCTTTTACAAACCACAGCATAGTCACAAGCAGCACACAAAGGCGAGCCAAGAAATAACCAGAGGGGTTGTGGCTGAAGGATAATGAAACATACAGCACAAAGCAGACCTGATCCTTAAAACGTTTGTATGTTTATGATCAAAGACATAGACAAAAACTGTCCAAGCATAATGTTTAACCATGCTTGGAGCTCATAGTACCTTCAAATAAACTTCTACAGTATTGACATATGTCAAAAGAACCATGCACTACACTTGACATAACAAAATTGATGACTAAGCAGTATGCTTTAGACCTTTACTTGTTTGAATACTGTAAAATTATGATTTTTCTTACACCAGCTGAGAAAATGTCCTTACCTCATCCAAAGTGAAAAACCCTATGTTGTCCTCATGTTCCCAGTACTTTATGGCACCATGTTGAGGAGGCTCTTCCACAATGAAGTCAATATTGGTAGTGCTGTAGAAAGGATGGGAAATATTGAGGATGTCCTGGTTCAAAGCTTCTGACCCACCTTCCCTAAGAGTGATATTTCTGGCATGGAAGGGAACCATTCTGGGGAGGATCTCAATGTTGATCTGGAGATCCTCCACAGCGGTGAAGCTGTTGGTGACATCCACAGTGAACCAATCACTGCCTTGGATGGGTGTGGAGACATAAAGGATGCGTCCATTGTTGATGTCCTCCTGGGAGAAGGTGTGGATATAGTGAAGGCTGGGTGTGGCTGTGCTCTCTGAGTCATTGATCAACATCACGATGTGGCCCAGGCGGGGAGGCTCTTTAATAGTATACATCATTTCGGAGGGCAGGATGTCATCTTGTTCTACCTGTAAAATACATGTAATATTGGTGTGTCACACCTTGGAATAAAAGTTGTGCATCACCATTGAAAAAATTGATTACATTTTAAAAATAATTTTAAGAAAAACAAATTAGCAATGGAAAAGGGATCAAATGTATAGGTAAATATACAGTATGCCATTGCTAAAATACTGTGTCCTAAAGCAAACTGTATGGGCTACATCAATTCTGATGAAAATTGAGAGTTGAAGTTAAGGGTTATTTGGAGAAATAAGGCTTTATGGTCATGTTTTAGAAATTGCCAATGGTTTTGAATTTACAAAACCATATTTAGTGAAAACTTGCTACAAAGTATAGTTTTAAGTATGTGAACATGACGATCTTTCTCACTAAATATGAACAATGACATTACTGAAAGTTACGGTTTTGTTGAGAGCCATTGCAATTATTGTTGAAGGGAAATACGAAAAGAAATAAATGCTGTGCTGTGCAAAATGTATCAGTAGGCAAAAGTTAATTGTGACCAGACGTATAGAGTTTCAGATGAAGACTGTGGTATGGTTCAGAATATGTGTTTTCTATTAAAACCTTTTTATGCAGCTCTTTATACATTTTATGTTATATTGCTTAGATCCTATCCAAGTACTGTTCAAACCCTTGACTTTTTTAATATGAAACCAAATGTACAAATGAATAATGTGTTTCTCTTACTATAAAAGAAATACTGAATGAAGTGAGTAAGAAACATTGCTTTGTAAGTGACAGCTTACCATAAACATCTGACTATTGTTATTCAACAAGTTGCTAAGAAGCAAAAAAAATGGAACTTTTGGCTATTAATATAGTTATATATTGTTTATATACAGTTGTTTTTTAAAAGAAAGGTCATAATGTTTTGGAATATAATTAATATAAATAACTTATTTAGTCATCCCAATGGATGTGTTTACTCATATTTATTAATAAAATGCCTGTTGAGTGGGAAATAAGGCCAAGGTAGTTTTACAATGTTTTTGGCTTATAGCTGTTTCAAATGGCAAGTTATACTGTATGGATCCTGCTCTCTTTGGAGGTAACCCCAAATGCAATAACAGCTGGTAATCTTGTGCAACATGTGACAATTGGAGCATAGATCAGGCTGCATAGTGTAGTCAGTCACAGTGTAATATGCACTAGAACAGCACAGAAAAATGTGCTGCTGAACAGCTATTGCATTATTTACACCAAACCAAAGGAGTTTAATGAATAAATGAAATCAATTTAATGAAATCTCTCAGAATACTGAAAATTACTGTTTCCTCCCCATAACATATCACATGCAAGCATGATAAAAGATAAGCCATGCCACCTGCTAGCTTTTTGTAAAAGAAATTCATGAAGAGTGGGATTGCTTAAATGTGCCTTTTCTTCTATGACATCGCATGTATTTTAAAGCAATTCGCAATTACGTGAAACATCAAAAACAGAATAAACACATTTTTTTCAAATTAAATCTCTTAAAAACAAATACAATGTTTAATACGTATAGGCATATTTATTGTTAAGAAGCTGAATTTTCTCACTAACCAAAGATAAAGATAAAAACTATTGAACTACCTTAAGATTGTCTTGTTTTATCTCAGTCGTTTCTTCTTCAAAAGAGTAGATCTTCTCATTGTTGATTATTTGTGGTTGAGACATGTAGCCTTGCTTAAAGATCTTGATTTTGAAAACACCATCCTCAGACAAATGATAAGATTTTACTGTGAAGCCAAAGGAGTCCTTTGACCTGAGGCTTATGTCACTGTGCTGATATGACACTTCTCCTTTGTTTAAATCTCCTTGAGTGAATGTAGTGGTCTCTTCTCCCCTAACAGTAATCTTTCCATCTTTTGGGGGTGTTGTCACTTCATACCTTATCTCACTTGTATCTCTAATATCCATGTTGGACTCTGCACTTAAGACAGTGTTGTCAATGGTCTTAAACCCACCGTGGTCAATTTCAATCATGGTATTACTAACGACATGGAGGTATGGTTCACTAGCCTGAACTTCCAGCAAAGCTGTTGTTTTGTGCAAACCATCAGACACCTGCAACTGAAACCTCTCACGATCAGCTCCATGGTGCACAAAGAGTACCTTTTTATCCCTAAGATCAGCTTGGGTAAAGCGGTAAAGTGGCTGGGAGACATCTTCAGCCGACACAATATTCCCAGAAAGAATGCCCATGCGCACATAGACCAGCTGGGTGTCATTGAAGTCCGAATCATCGTCCTTGAATAGGATGTCATCGGTGGTTAACAAACGCTGTCCATTTCTCACCACATTGAAAGTCCTGTTGACTACTCGGAGTGGTACATGGTCATTGTGGGATTGTATAGATATACTGAACATTCCACTTAATGTTTCTTGCAACATGGCATTAATTGTTGAGCTGTCTGTGGTTTGTTCAAGAATAAGGAATTTAAACTTATCCTCATTGCTCTCTGATCCATCATGCTTGTATATAAGTCTCTGTAACAGTAAGTCTTCATTACTGAACACCTTAATTGCCCCTTCAAATCTAGGCATTCCAGGTGGGGAATCTCTGATAAGCTTACCATGGTTAGGACCATGGATAACCTTATATACATAATCTGTCACATTTCTAGTCTGAACCCAGAGGTACTCCTTAGTCAGGTAATTCTCTCCACCCTCCAAAACAGTCAGTCTTTCATTTGTTAGGACAGGTACATTTGGATCAGCTAGGATCTTAATTGGGTAGGTATACACAGGTGAATACTGGTTTTCAACAAACACTTGAAACTGAAACTTATCTTCTGTGTCTACTGTTCTGCGGATCCTTACTTTGTAGATGAGATGACCATTCCATAGGTCTTGTTGACTGAATGAATCTCCTTTTGAAAGGTCTCGACCAAATAGTGACAAAGTACCTTTAGATGGAGCTTCCAAAAGCCTATATTTCAAAGAATTGTAATCCACACTTCGTCCCTTTAGAGCAGCCTCAAGTTCTGTTTGTTTTATAACCTTTTGTTCTCCACTTTCTATTTGTAATGGGATCAGCTTAGAAATTGTTACTTCAGATGGCTTGATCTTGATCAACATAGTGTTGTTGCTAAGAATTATTCGACCTAGCTGTACATCAAACTTGACCCGTTCTACCATAATGTCTTCATAATTGTGAGTATCTGTACTGACATACTTCAAATGTCCTTTTTGTAAATCAGATTGCCGAAAGGTGTTTGTTTGCTTCCATTCCCCATTAATTGTATGAATCTGCAGTTCTCCAAAATGGAGATCCTCAATCACATTGTACATAATGTCCCCATTCTGTGGTGTTGAAGACACTGCTAAATTATGGATTCCAATCAATGAAGCCCCACCCTGAGAAAGAATGAGGCCAGTATTTGTTACAAGTGTGATCTGAGGTTGTCTTGCTGAAAGTCTGAGGGTGGCTGACTGGCTCAATGAGCTTCCATCAGAAACCTGTATTTTCAGCTCAGCCATAGTGCCGGTTTTGTGGACGTAGTAAATGTTTTCATCTTTAAGTTCCTTACATGTAAACTCCAAAATATTATGACCAGGTTGCTGTGCTTTTTCTAGAATACCTTCCTCAGTGCTGGGTCCCGAGACAATTGTAAACTTCAGTTCATCACAAATGGTGTCTGTATCCACAACTTTGATAAGATTTGCAGTTAAGAGTGTCCGTGCATACTCTGAGATGAAGATGTCTCCTCCACTTAACTGAGGTATATCATTGATGGGTATTATCTCTACAGGAAGTATATAGTTTTGAGGAGTTTTCAAACATTCTGGAAGGTAGCTATAGCTATGGGCCACAACATCAAATGGTATGTGGTCTGAATATCTTTCCATACCATTATGGATATACTTGACTTTTCCATTGACCACATCCAGTAGAGTAAACTTCTTTGTTCTTCTGTTAATAACATTTAAATCCATTTGACCATTCAATGGCTCGCTCTGAAGAGTGAAGACTATTTGGGATTGCCTGATGCCTAATGCTGTTAGATCTAGAGTAGGTTTTATATTGTTCAGGTTCACAAAGGCTTGCCCACCTTCAGGAACAGTCAGAGACCTGATATCAAGGAGCCTAGTGATGTTGCGGAAGATTTCTGGCATATCAGCTGTAGGGTGACAATGCTGTTCTTCAACATATTGAAATTTAACAGGGGGTGCAGTTGTAGTAAAATCATATTCATATTCATAACCATATTCATCACCTTCACAACTTACATGAATATCTTTGCTAACTGAAATGTCTTGCAGGCTTATATCTTGTTGGTTAAGTTTTATTTCACCCATACAACCAATGAAAGACTCTAGTGTCAAATGATCTTGGAAAGAAGATAACATCCCAGTGCTTCTAAGGACATCTTTTACATTCTCGTCCAAACCTCCCATATATACATTTCCAGTAAGATGCAGGCTTTCTGAACCACTCAGAGGAACCATGATGCTCTGACTGTCCACAGTGATTTCGAACATACTAGAATGTATTTGTACTTTAACTCTGTGCCACTGATTATCATCCATCTGTACATAGGGGTTGTCCAAAACAACCACTCCATTTCCCAGGTCTGCAATACCCTTGAGGTAGCCTCCTACGGACCACAAACCTATAAATCTTGACTGGTGATCAAGATGAAAAAAACAAAGTGAATTTTCAATAGTGGTCTTCATTAGTAGCTCAAGAGTCAGGCCATCCACCATGTTCCATATTGGCAAGGAATAATATGAATTTGCACTAATAAAACTGATAGCTTCCCCTTTGCCGCCCTGAAATTCACTGCTACAGCCCTCTTTAGTCTCATGGCATGTAGGCTGCTCTGCTGATAAAAGGTCAAAGTCATTGGACTCAAAGCGTACATTCCCCATGCAGCCCCGGAACTGAGGGACAGATTCTTCCAGGTAAGGTCGCTCAAGATTCCCTTTGCCACCTAAGTAAAATCCCAGATCAATGTTGAGATCCTGTTTGATACCGGGGAGCATAACAACACTGGGGAAAATTTCATCAATCACCATAGTTAAATTGGTCTCTTGTAAAGTTAGTGTCACGTGGTGGTCCATTAAGTTATTTAGCTGTAGACCAAGAGCAGATGAAACAGCCACTTCACCAGATCCCATGTCCAGACGTGCCTGCAAAAAAAACTTGTGTATTTATTTCTTAATTTTAAAAATGTTCAGTATTTGCAATCTTTAATCAGTTCTGCTGATGTGTAATATGAATTGGCTTCATTACTCTGCTTTCCTCCCCACTGATAGCTGATGTGTGGTGAGCGTTTTGGTGCACTATGGCTGCCGTTGCATCATCCATGTGGGGCTGCACATTGGTCGTGGTGGAGGGGATCCCCATTAAATGTAAAGCTCTTTGAGTGGAGTGTACAGAATATATGTGTAAGCAATTATTATTATAATTATTATAATATGGAAAGAAGGAGGATTTGTTTACTGTTTTTGATCATTCTATCAAGGATTTGCTTGTATTATAACCACTAAATTCCTAATGAAAGTATTGCCCATTTGAGATACCATACTATACAGTATACATAGAGTATACTGTACACAATATAAATTAGAATGTTTGCAATTATATAAAATAATGCAGACTATTTTCTGAATCTCAACTAAAAACTCTTGTGTATCATCCATGCATGCTTATTAAACTTTTGTTTTGATGGTAATTGTCAATTTCACTGTCAATTTCACTTTTTATATAAATGTTATATAATTATTATATAAATATCAGACATTAAGTGAAATGAGCCCATAGATGATTTATACTAATCATATACTGGTTCATATTGGGGACAGTATTGTGACTGAAAAGATACAAAGCTCAAAGGATAACAGGATGATATGTACAGTATACGTAAACAGGAAAGTAGTAGGTACATTGTGTATAATAATAAAATAACACCCACATTTGATGACTAATACGTTTGATGACTACAGCATTTATACTACTATGTAAATAAATAACTTATTAAATCATCTAAGATATGATTTTATTAGAATAAATTTTATTATAAGCTCCTTAAAATAATAATTTCTGATTTTCAAGTTGTTTTAAAGAAAAATATTCAAGCACATACCTTTGGAACCTATGGGCAAAATATGTTCTAAATAAGATGCAGTTGTTCGGTTATTTGTTATTTTGTTAAGTGTTAAGATTTGTAATTCAAAGAGAATGAGCTGTCTTGAGGAAATACATTCATTTGTCTATTTTGCCCAAAGTGCATGACCGGTAACAACTGTAATTTTACTATAGTGGTACAACATCGACACATTTACGGAAATGTTAGGAATTTTGAGGTTCTGTACCAGGGAAATTGAATGGGATGCTTTCAATCTAATTTTTTATTTTTGAGGGCTTCTGGAAACCCTTGTTGCATTCACCTGTAACCTGCCATTCCGGAGCTCTAGTACAAGGTAGTCTGAGATTCCTCCAGCCAGAAAGAGGAGGCCACTGCGCTTTCCCGTTTGAAACTGCAGTGAGAGATGGAATGATGTGACATCCTGGACAGCCTGGATCTTGCAGAAACTTGCTCCAAAGTACGATACTGTAATAGAAAATAGTTAACAGACTTTAAGACTCCTACTCATGAAAGCATTCCATGAAGCTGGACATACATTCTTTCATACACATCCTCTCTGTGCTACACAGCCTCCTGTCTCTGCTTTGGTGTTAATGAACTTATTAAATGCACTACAAGCACTTATATTAGATGCTTAAAAACAAGCTGACAGAATGACGAAAGAACATAAGGCTGAAGAACATACATGTAAAATATTGTGATGAAGAATCTCAGAACCTTCTCATTAGCTTATATCTGACTGCATTTCAGATAACTTAAACAAAACATACACTTGAAAATGTTGATATTCAGCCTTTTCAAATTTATGTAAGGGACTAGGGCTCTAGAATTCCTTTTTAAATGAGAATCTCTGCCAAAAGTACATATTTTCTGTGCTAAAATTGTTTATACACCACATATACAGTATAATCTCTCAAGGTTTAGATTTCCTCTCCAGGATCTCTCACGGATTCCCTCTTATATCATGACGTCAGTAGACATCCCCTGACCATTTGGTAGGGCATCCCAGAATCTTGTGCACTCTTCCCAGGCCTTAGTGTCTTTCTTCCTTTCTCCCTTGGGATACTAAACAAACATAGCCACCTGCCCTTTTTAGAATTCTGTGATTGCAGAGTACTCAGAAAGTCAATTGTTTCTCATTCCTTGTTCTCCTAAATAAGAACTGAGCTCTCTGAGGTCCCATCCAGGTCAGTGTTTTCCGCAGCTGAAGCCAAGAAGGGGCTTTCACAACCACCCACTCACTCTCAAACAGGCAGCAAAACTAGAGGTCACATAGAAAGACTATCTGAAAAGCTCCAGAGGGGAACTGTTCTGCTACTTGTCCAAGACCAGACAATACTGTGGCTTGAAGAGAAAAGAGGGGGACGATGATTATACTGTACTTAGAACAGTTCTGAACATTCTTTGGAGGTTACAGATATCAAATAATGGGTCTTATTTCCTCATCGATTTTAAGTAAATTTAAAGTAAATTTCAGTTTAGATGAATCGCAGAATATCACCTCTTTATGTTTAAGTTAAAAATGCCTGCAAAAGTGAAATGAATTTGGTGACATAATCTTGCCAGTTAACTTAAGCCAATGAAACATAAACCTCAAAGACTTAATCACAATTGAACAGGAAATAACCGGAAAGCTTTTGAATATCTACTATTGACTAAGGCTGAATGTATTCTATAACAGCCAAATAAAAAAAATCAAATTAAAATGTTGTAATTGTCTGCCTCAGAGAAGAAATATTAGAGGTTGTTTTTACATTTCTTATCCAAATTACAATCCTTGTTTGTAAAAAGAAAAAATAATGCATTATGAATGTTATTTAAGCCGTATATTACCAATACAAACCTTTGCATTCTTTATGTGTTTTGTGAACATTAAGAGTTTAAGTATACTTCCAAGAATTTGCTGTGCTTTTTAAAGGGTAATATAGGTGTGATTCATAGTGATTATAAAAAAAACAAAAATGTTGTTTGCAGAATTATATTTAATAATTTTGACTAAACCACCTGGCTGTAAATCCAAGGGTTTTCACAGAATGCATAACAAATATCAGCCAGACAAAGAATAGTACAAAAAGTGTCATTTACTAAAAATTCTTTGATGCACAAAATGTTTTAGAAAAACAAAAATTGAACATAGTTTCTGCAAGGAATTCCCTTCTAGTAGTTTCAATTATCAGGCCTACAATTACCTAAGCTGTTTAATACCACAAAGATGGCTAGTTTGCTACATCATACTGTAAGTGTCAGGTTAAATACCCTAAGCACCATCCCTGGCTCCTATTGATGGACAGATCCTCTATTTTCATCACAGGCGATTCAGCGTCTGTAAGCTCACAGAATGGTGGAATAAACAAAGACAACAGTGTGGATCCATAGCAACTAGAACAAACATACACATATATTAAATGAACACAATGCTTATTTATAATAACCACAATGCAAATACAAAGATAATGAATCTGAAAGCTTACGAGAGACTCTAGCAGAGGCCATGTGACAAGGGTTTCCGTTGTCAAACTAGAGAAATATTGGCAATATTGGCAAATATGATCCACAGAAGAAGAGATCTAGAACCACTGCTTTTAAAAGCAGCTATAAGACTAATAAGAACAGCTATAAGATGAACAACACTATTTTGTTTATTTCTTCTAATGTACCACCTCCCATCTTTAACACTTCACATGCATCTTTAGGTTCCATATTTGAATGTTTTCAAACACATTCCCAAATTTCCAAATCATGTGATACAAAATAGTTTGCATTACGATTTTATACTAAATCTTGAAAACTGGTCTAAAGTTACAAATACTTTGGAAATCACCATTAGTTGAAATTTTGTGAAGAAAATTCTATTTGAATCAACCAAATCTGGATCCTGTATGTATTTTACTTTTTAATCAAATTAATGAATATAATACAGTCTGACAGTGTTTTAAGATCTACCCTTCTCCCAGGTTAGAACATCTGCATGTATAATGTTACAATAATTAACATCTGGCTAGTATCAACATTTGTTGTTCTCAGGATCTTCAAAGCAAGAAAGGAACTGGGAGTTTGCTGAGTGGAAGAGGGTCTGAAACACAGTGTTCAAAGAAATCCTCCAGTTTAACTCGATTAATTAAGTTCTGGGTAAAAGATTAAGAGTCATCATCGTTTGAGGAACAGAGGATAAAAACAGGAGGTAGCCAACAGAGAAGACAGGACAGAAGAGAAAAGAAAAGAAGACACACAGAGAGAGAGAGAGAAGAACAGGAGAGAGGAGAAGAGACAGTGGATTGGGAGTTCTCTGTTCCCATCAGCCTTTAAGACCCAAATGAGTTAAGTATTTAAAAAATCTGTTAAGAGCGCTTTCCATTCTGTTGTTTTTAGAAAAATTTGATTGCCTGTATAGAGAAAATGGTCTTTCCTGGTTTGTGGATGCATTTACAGAATATGCACATAGGTTATATAACATATGTTTATGGAACAAGTAAAGATTTATTCCATACTGAAAAGAGAAGAAAAGAAACACAACGTTTTGGCTGTGAAACCTTCTTCGGGTGTGAACCTTCTTCACAGAAGAAGAAGCCAAAACGTTGTTTCCTTTCTTCTCTTTTCAGCATGGAATTTACTTGTTCCTTTGTAGCCTACACATGCTGACGCAGCTACCTACTTGAACTACTTCAGATTTTAAGTTTATGTTGTGTGTTGTTTAGTTTGTGTTGTGTCATTTTTAATATTTTTTATTTAAGACAGCATGCCAGTTTTATTACTTTTTTCACCAAAGCTGTGCCAGAGAACAAAGAACAGGTGCCTCAACTGAAAACAACTAAACAGGGTATATTTTTGGCAAACTTTACAATTTGGGGGTTATGATATTTTTTTATTGACTAACCCACTCAGTCACCTCTTGTATTCTCTATTTTTGTAACCTCTATATCTGTAATAATAACATCTGCCTGTATTAAAAATCCAGTAAAAGCTAAATTAAGTGATGAAATTTCAAAAAGCTTTCATGGACCAAAGTAGTTAAGTTGAATCAATGGCAAACAAATTTGATATCTGTGTTTTATGCCAATTTATGCTGTTGCTCTTGTTTTTTTGTGTCTAAGATAAATAGAAAGGAAGCTTTGGTATGATAAATTATCAGTCATACAGTACTTATACTTTAGAATGGTGTACTCTTGTGAATAATGATGTAAAGTTTCTGAGTGATTCTAGGCTAATCTTTGGGCAGTTCGTTTCAATGAAATACAAAACTGAATTCAAACACCTAGAGCACATTTTTCAGCTTATCAGAAACATCTGCTGTAAAATGACATCAGCTTGTTGTAGGCTCTTTCTTATGCAATTCTGTCATAGAATTAAGCACGGTCCAGTTTTACATTTATGGTCTGCAGCTCCTAGCACTACATTTTTACCCACTTCCAGCCAAAATGTTTGGCCAGCAGAGAAATTCCTTTTTATTAATCTAGGAGCTAGTTCCCCTTAAAGCCTCAGAAATAACACTCCTCTCCACCACCACTGCAAAGCTGTTCCCTGTACACAGACTGTTTGATTCACCCCAGGAAACAGTGTGTTATTGTGTGAGTACATTAGGCTGAGTCCTGGCCAATGCAGATGGCTATAATTTGATGACTGGCTATAGTTTTATTTATAGCACTCAAAGGAAACTGACAGCAATTTTTTCCCAATTCATGTTTCACTGGTTTCTTTTTATTCCCCCCTTTGCCTTATATGAATCAGCGTAAGACTCATGTGTTCTGTAACTTATAGAGGAGAAAATTGGCGGCAAGGAAGCTGTGATATACACTGGTTTTTCCATTTCTGATAAATTTAGATTGGCAATAATGGAGGCCCTATGGTAATGAAAAAGAACCATGTTTTATTTAGGAGCAAATAAAGGTTAATTCCACTCTGCAAATTGTCAGATGTCATGTATGCTCCTTCACTTAAACATTGTGAGTTTTGTTTTTACTTTTCAGCACAAACCTTTACTTGTTCCTTTGCAACTCACATACTGTATTAATGCAGCTGCCTCACTCTGAAATTTTACTCTTGTAATTAGAAATACACTTAATATTCTCCACACAAGTAATTGGTGAAATACATATCCAAATCCATTTTTGCCTTAGGATCCCACTAATAAAACTGTCCAAACATGTAAAGAACAGTGGTCAGAGATACTGTACAATATGTTTCAGTACTTTCTTGTATTAAATTAAAGATTAATTTATGTAGCCTTTTCAGTCATACTGTAGGGTTTTGAAACAAAAATGTTCCATTTGAGATACAGTTCAGCCTGCTGGAATAGATGTTGAAAAACAGAACCTCCAAACATGCTTCAAAGATATAAAAAAACACTTTATTGTCTTGAGTTTTGAAAAGACCATATTTAAAACTTTAACTTTCATGCTATTAGTGAACATTAGTTATTTTGAAAAAGATCTATATAGTACTAGTAAGATTTTCTTCTGTTGTTGCTG